GGCTAGTTAAGAAAAATGAAATTCATAGCTGCGTAGGGCCTGCTCATTTAATTATGAAAAAATTTACTATCAGTCCTTAACTCACCTAATGCGACCTCGGTTGACTAACATTTTACTCATTGATTGCTGATATTTTCGAAAGATTCTCACATCAAAAATCCGATATGACACTTAAAGCAGTTAAAGCATATATTGAGTAAAGATCATGTGGACTGCCAGACAATATATCAATGTGGGTTCACAAGGACTTTCAAACACGTATGATATCCTATTACTGAATTTTCCCACAATGATATCAGTAAATCGCAAGATGTCATTTAATTCCACTTAGCTGTGTCAACAATACGGTATTTCTCCAGGGTGAGTGAAATTGCGGCTTTACCATCTTCCCATTAACACAAAACACTATTAAAACCTGTTTGTGTACACTGTGGGGACACATTACCAGTTTCCCACACAATCACAGGACCCTCAAGGCAAGCCGGGCCCTTTCCAAATTATATTTTTTTAGTGAAATTGCCAATGGGGCAAACAGCTATTTGCAATTAAAATCGATGACGCTACTTATATTCCTTATGAGTAGATTTAGAGTCTATCTGTAAATCTGCAATGAGATCATTATTTCGAAGCCGACTTATTGCGAATATGAACAACGTTCTCAATTGTGCCGACAAATGCATGGCTTTTTTGCAATTAATCTCAACAGTAATACGATTTTGGAGGACGATTGCCCTTCTTGAAGTACACATCTGTCCTGTAACACAATATGACCTGTGGTTCCGTAGACGATTGACAAGGTGCCACTATTTAGCATCATTCATTTTACTACCAAAAAGATGAAGGCGAATAGATTAATTGACATATTTTTGTAAGCTTTAATTTCATGTAGAAATTGTGTTAACATGTAAGTATATAGTATGTTTAACTGGATGCTTAAAAATGGTGAATGGTGAACATCCTGTCGGGAGCCACCACCTCAGCGGAATTAATACGAGGCTTTATATGTTAGCTTGCAGGTAAAGTTGGTCACAGAACTCTTCATTTGGCAGAAAGGATTTTTTTCCCAAAAATGGTTCATCATTAGGCGTCATCCCATCTTTGCCTATAGATAATACTCATTAAAGTCAACAAAGCAATGATTGCCAAGTTGGACGTGCAGGTGTTTCCATGGTTGCAGTGTTGCAGTGGCTTAAATGGTCCGATGCAGAGAGCTGCGCTGATGGCATGAGCTATGAACGTGTTGTCACGGCTTCTATGAAAGACAAACGAAAAGGGTCCTACGGCATAGATTGGCACATCCTCTCCTCCATGAGTTTCGGAGTCCACTGGAACTAGGCTCTGCTGCCTGAAGTCGTTCGCCTCAGTATCGACTTTGGACAGATCCTTGCGTGGTGCGTTGACTTCGGCTGAAGGCCCATTCGCATAACCAAGAATCGTGTATGGTATCTTATCTAAAGTCTGAAGGGACATTTATTGAGAGATAGATTGGCTTAAAAGAAATGTGCTGCTTCCTTGTGAACAACTTAGCAATATTTGAATATATGAAGACCAAGATGTTGTGGCCTCTGGCGTGGTCGCAGTCTCCTTTCGATGGATAGAAGTGGGTTGACCTTGTTGTCGCAACTTGGTCTTGTTTTCAGGGAGACCAAGTTGCGACAACGAGGTCAACCCACTTTTAGCAATATTTGATGGTTTGTGAACCATTTAAGCTATACTGAAGCATAGCTTATTGTGGAAATGCCATTATTCCGAAGGGCATTGCAACAAATAATAGAGAATCTCGCCAATATAAATTGAAGAAAAGATTTTTTTTCGGAAGCAGCTTTACTTGGTCATGCTTTCTAAAAGACCTTTCTCATTCAGGATCAACGGCAGTCTTGACTTCGCATGATACCAGCCTTGGAGATGAAGCAAAGTGGGCACATTTTAGCTCATATTTCTTAGAAGGAAGGTGGGAGGGGTGATATTTATGAGTTAATGAGTAAAATGGATGGAA